GAATGTACCAAGAAGCTGAGCGGCGTTTGTGTTGTCAACCCTAGACGTTAAAGTTGGTGTAAACCAAGGTTCATGTCAAGTCTACGTCAAGGTTCAGTTCAAGCAGACCACGATTCATTCTAAGTTGAATCAGTCATTCCAAGTGAAGCATCGCTTCATTCCAAGTAGACTACGATTTATTACAAGTGAAATTATTACAGTTGTTGACACTTATTTGAGGGTTGAAATGAAAAATGATCTGTCTTTTGCAATTTGTGTTGCTGCGTAAAAATTCGAATTGTCTACCGAGTCGTTGTCTTTCATTCTCAGTAAGTCTGACTTGGTTGTAACGAAATGCACAAACAAGCTGTGATAAAATCAGGTGACATCGAATTTTCCAGGTCAACAGTACCCTCCACTGTCATATTTTGGATAACTGTTTGTATTATCACATTTTTTCTAAATCTGTATCTGGATCATTACCAGTGTTATACAGGTCGCTGATTTTTATCGATAACCGACTGTGAGTGGGCGTGGCATTGGAAGTGGTAACTTGTAGAAATGTCAATGTTTACATGTTTGTCGTCCGTTAAGATCCACTCCACTTCAAGACTGAAATATTTGTTTCGTAACCAAATTAAAGTTTACTAAGTTTGTCTTTAGCTTTGTTTATAATAATAATAATAATTAATATTTTTATGATTATTACTATGTGGTCAATTGCCCTAAAAAAACATAATATATTATACACAATATGAAATTTCTCTTCTTCTTTTGTCGTTTTACTGATACCAGGTTGTTTTAGATATTAAATCTTACTTTGTAATATAAAGAATGTAAAACGAAATTTTCTTTCCACTTCGGGTTGTCTTTATAACCAGTTGTATCAAACCTATTTCCCTGTTGGGTACCCAGGGGCAATCCTGTTTTAAAGAACCCATAAGGTGGGGCGAGCTCGTTATGCTGTCGACTGGTGTGGGTGGGACTCTCAGTGTCATATCTCCCCCTGTTGCCTTTGCCCATTCAGATGTATAGTAACAGAAGCTGCTAGGTATTGGACCACTGTATATGTGTGGGCCCTTTCTATAACCCGGTCATCATTATCATCATGAGCGTCTTAGAAGCTTCCCCTACATAAAAAATATAGTAACAGAAGCTGCCGAGTATTGGTCTGGTGTGTATGTATGTGCCCCTCTCTCGGGAGCTTCACCGGAATCAAGCTTATGGGGTTGCCCTCCAGTAGATCCTCTCCCGTAGCTCTCCTGTATGGTAGCCCTCTGTCTTCTTCTGTTCTGTCTTCCCCTAGTAATTTTTTAGTTCCCAGGGTATCCTGGTATATTTGTGGGTCCCTCTCTATAGCTCTCCTGTCGTTATCATCGTGTCCATTTTTTGTAGATAACCCTTAAGTAAGTTCCCTGTCTGGAGCTCTCATGTCTTGTCTGTAGCTCTTCTGTGTATCGAGACCACTCTCGCTAATGTACACCACTGTCTAGACCGGCTTGTGGTGTTAACATTCAGAGGCGGAAGAAATATGTAAACCCCAATACAACAGTATATTAAGAACAGACCAGAAAGATTAGTGGAAGATCAGGCTCAGGAAAATGAACATATGATATAAGTGACTCCTTGAAACTACACGAGGCGGGAGAGCTGACGAGAGACCTAGCAACTTTCAGGCAGACCCTGATAAAAGCGAAGTTTTACAAAGAACTTGCTCTATGATGATGAAGATGATGATGAAGGTTTATCATAAAATAGCTCGATAGTTATTACTGGTAATTGTCACCATGGGTGTTATGACATGTCACCAATCAATGAGCACCTTCATGTTCTCACGTTATATTTTTTTAAAGTGTTAATAGTTATTACTGATGGATTTTAGTGAGATGACCAAGTCTGCTCTTATGTTTCTTAAAGAATTTAGTGCAATATGTTGTTCACAGAAGGATTCTACAAAAAGCACGGGCCAAGAAAAACAAAGAAATACTGACATAACAAACGATCTGAGTGTCAAGGAAAACCGGCTCATGAACAACATCTTGTTTTGGAGAAAGGAATTACGTTGGCCAAAACAAACATCACTCTGGTTTGGAAACAACATTAGTAGAGAGCATGGTACTGGGCAAGAGGGGTCGACCAACACGAAAACAGGTAAAGGACATAAGAAATACCTTGGACAGGAAAGTGCAGAGAAGGGAAAGCTGGCGAGAGACCTAGTTTCTTTCAGCCACTTTGTGTATGGAAGAATGTTATTTCAGTATATTTCAAATGCAGTTTTCTTTTAATAAAGACCTTTAGAGGTTTATATAATATAATTTCTGTGATTTTTCACACCATTAATTTTTTTCTTTTACGAAAGTGTAAACAAATTATTTTTACTAACTAGGGAGTCGCCGTGGCGGAGCGGCTAGACCCTCGCCGCGGATCGGAAGGTCGTGGATTCGCTCCCTAACTTTTTAAAAAAATGACGTTGGCTCCCAGGTCGACCCAGCCTTGAGTGGGTACCGGGTGCAGTCCCGGGTATTAGAGGCGGCCCGACTGATCCTGACCACATCACCCATCTTGTGCCGATTGGTCTATAAAATATATGTCTAGCCCTATATGCCCTATACGCCTAAAGCCGTGGAAAAGGGTCCTTTACTTATACTCTATTTACCATATATTTAGGCTTTCAAACTTTACAGTTTTCTCAGATTATCTGGTGTAATTTAAAACGGAATTGGCAACAGAAGTTTATATAGATAAGGGCCTCTTATTCTTCTTTCTATCGTCCATGCCGTCTGGTGTTGAAGTCAGTCTGTCCACAACCTCCTGGCTCGTGTAATTTCAGTCATTTCTTACACAGATGATTTTCCATGCCGTCTGGTGTTGAAATCATGTCTATCCACAACTTTCTGTCTCGTGTACTTTCAGTCATAGCTTACACAGATGATTGTCCACGCCGTCTGGTGTTGAAATCACGTCTATCCACAACTTTCTGTCTCGTGTACTTTCAGTCATGTCTTATACAGATGATTGTCCATGCCGTCTGGTGTTGAAATCATGTCTATCCACAACTTTCTGTCTCGTGTACTTTCAGTCATGTCTTATACAGATGAATGTCCACGCCGTCTGGTGTTGAAATCACGTCTATCTACAAATTTCTGTCTCGTGTACTTTCAGTCATAGCTTACACAGACGATATTCTATGCCATGAGGTCAAACTGTCCAGCATCTTCTCCCTTGGTCTGCCCCTACCTCTCTTGCCCTCGATCTTTCTCACCGTCACAATGTACTTTAGTTCTCTCCTTCTTATGACAGGGCTAAAGAATGTTGATTGCTTACTTCTGACATAGGCAGTCACTTCTCTTAGTGTGGTATCTCCTTAAAAAATAACCAGTTCTCTCCTTCTTATGACAAGGCTAAAGAATGTTGATTGCTTACTTCTGACATAGGCAGTCACTTCTCTTAGTGTGGTATCTCCTTAACAAATAACCAGTTCTCTCCTTCTTATGACAAGGCTAATGAATGTTGATTGTTTACTTCTGACATAGGCAGTCACTTCTCTTAGTGTGGTATCTCCTTAACAAATAACCAGTTCTCTCCTTCTTATGACAAGGCTAAAGAATGTTGATTGCTTACTTCTGACATTGGCAGTCACTTCTCTTAGTGTGGTTACCTCCTTAAAAAATAACCAGTTCTCTCCTTCTTATGACAAGGCTAAAGAATGTTGATTGCTTACGTCTGACATAGGCAGTCACTTCTCTTAGTGTGGTTACCTCCTTAAAAAATAACCAGTTCTCTCCTTCTTATGACAAGGCTAATGAATGTTGATTGCTTACTTCTGACATAGGCAGTCACTTCTCTTATTGTGGTATCTCCTTAAAAAATAACCAGTTCTCTCCTTTTTATGACAAGGCTAATGAATGTTGATTGCTTACTTCTGACATAGGCAGTCACTTCTCTTAGTGTGGTATCTCCTTAACAAATAACCAGTTCTCTCCTTCTTATGACAAGGCTAATGAATGTTGATTGTTTACTTCTGACATAGGCAGTCACTTCTCTTAGTGTGGTATCTCCTTAACAAATAACCAGTTCTCTCCTTCTTATGACAAGGCTAAAGAATGTTGATTGCTTACTTCTGACATTGGCAGTCACTTCTCTTAGTGTGGTTACCTCCTTAAAAAATAACCAGTTCTCTCCTTCTTATGACAAGGCTAAAGAATGTTGATTGCTTACGTCTGACATAGGCAGTCACTTCTCTTAGTGTGGTTACCTCCTTAAAAAATAACCAGTTCTCTCCTTCTTATGACAAGGCTAATGAATGTTGATTGCTTACTTCTGACATAGGCAGTCACTTCTCTTAGTGTGGTATCTCCTTAAAAAATAACCAGTTCTCTCCTTTTTATGACAAGGCTAATGAATGTTGATTGCTTACTTCTGACATAGGCAGTCACTTCTCTTAGTGTGGTATCTCCTTAAAAAATAACCAGTTCTCTCCTTCTTATGACAAGGCTAAAGAATGTTGATTGCTTACTTCTGACATAGGAAGTCACTTCTCTTAGTGTGGTATCTCCTTAAAAAATAACCAGTTCTCTCCTTCTTATGACAAGGCTAAAGAATGTTGATTGCTTACTTCTGACATGGGAAGTCACTTCTCTTAGTGTGTTACTTTTTCAAAGTCTAAATCCGGCCCAGGTCCTCCTGTAAAAGAGACAACTAAAGTATGTAGGGACAGTGGGAAAGCTAGAACAAAAACTATAGAGAGAAACCGAAGAGAGATGTTGCTGTAAAGTTTGACATCATGGCATGGAAGAATACCTATGTTGTAAATTTTTGAAAATACACGAAACAGAACGCTGGCAGCGCCAACCTCACATGGCGACGATTATAAGAAAAAGCAAATTCTGTATAGGGATAATACACTGAAGTTCTAACTCTGATATAAAATCATTGCAAAATAATGTAAAAGTAATATACATAAAATAGAAATAAAGAAATATCACAAATGTGTGGCGTAATGAGACTCATCAATGCATTAATTAGTTAGTTGCTAAATGAATTGGCTTGAATATCCATTTTTGTGACTTTGAAGAGCCATTACACTTGCTGAGTTGTGGCCCCTGTGTGTTGGCTTCCAGACACAAATGTGACTTCTGATGGACGATTGAACGGTCCTGTGTTTAAAAGAATAATACATTATTATTATTTTTATTTTTATAATCGACTCCTAGGGCTTAGACGATGCACAAATGCTTCGCATTTTAGATGTAAACAGTTCGACTCCACTTGCTGACGATTTGGCAGCAGACAGACGTGCGTTGATTTTGACAATTGTGTCGAGTTCCCAACGTTCAGAAAGCAGCAACAAACCACAGAGCGTAGAACTGCCTCATCAAATAATCGAACTGCTAAATAAATCTGGGGCTTATTCTGCAAAGTCCTGTAAAGAAAAAGCAACTTACTATTACTAACGTAAACTTGTTGGCACCTTTTTAAGAGAGCTGGCATGGTGTAGCGGCTATACGTGTGCGTGTGGACCCGAAGTACATGGGTTCAGGTGCTGATGGAACCAACATTTTTGTTCAAAAATGACATTGTCTCCCAGGTCCGCGGAGCTTTAAATGGGCACCAGATAAAATACTTAGATAAGTTAAGGTGGCTGTCGTGAGGTTGACCACATCACTGGCCGAGTGCCGATTTGTCTATAAAATATAGCTCTAGTCTTTTTTGCCCAAACTCCTGAAAGAGTGGAAATGGATACTTTTGCATCACCCATTGCAAGCCAGTGACGTACTGGGCATATCGTTCCGTTGCTGCACTGGAATTAACAAAAATGCTTGTCACGTTCAACCAGCATTCACAAAGGGGAGCTTTAGGTTATAATTGTGACTATGTTAGGTGCGCCATAAAAGATGGCTTAGCTTTGAACGCCATCAAGAGCCATCAAAAGGACTCCTGCAGTGTTGAAATGAACAAAAGAGACAGACCCAAATACTGTCTCGACCGGCAACGATGACGCCAATGGGCCACCCGGTCGCCGATATGTTTGCAGTATGCATTTAAAGACCAGTGGACACTCGGTGGGGATGTAGTTCATATCACTACGGCCGTCTTTACTTCATAAGACATTGCCTAGCACAGATTTTAGGCATGATCTGTGACCGGGTCGCCCATTGGTTTGAAAATCCCCCCCCCCCTTTTCCGAGCTCATGTTATCTTTGTGTCGCCGCTCCTTATGTAATCTATTATACAGACAGGAACCAGATACCTGTAAGTAGTCCCATTTGTCACGCATGCCAATAATGCAGTCTTGTAGTTTGACCGCCGCTCCTTCCTTGGGATCAGGGACCACAACACACTGGAGCGATGTCCTCAGCAGCTTGTCGGTAGTCAAGGAGAACGCCTTGCATGACATAGAGATAGTGTCACAAGTTACAGCAAATAATGTTTACATCTTTTATCTCTTCTTGGCGTTTATCAACTGTAAACACCGGTGGAATGATGGCGGTAAATGTAGGCTGGCCGAACTGTAACAGGTGCAGGGTTCTCATCCGGGAGAGCCAGGTTCGAACCCTTGTTCGCTATCGTAAAGGGGGGGGGGGGCACGGGTGTTCTCTCAGAGAAAAAAAAATATACAATCTTGACCTCAACTAGACACACGGCCCCAATCCTCAGGCTCAAAGACCCCGGCTCCCCCCCCCTCCACTTTTTCCATTTCTATCCCACCCCGGCCCACACCGTAAACGTGGTTAATACGGGTAGAAATGGTAGGGTGGGTTTTTTTAGGGCTGGAGGGGGGAGGGAGGGGAAGGAGGCCATATATCAACATGATATTTCCTTTTTTCTCGTTCTAGGCTCTGTATGATGTTAACCATGTCAGATATAGAGAGCCGGTTGGTCTATGTAAATATATACATATATATATATATATATATATATATATATATATATATATATATATATATATATATATATATATATGTGTGTGTGTGTGCGAGTGTGTGTGTGTGTGTAGCTGGCATCATATGCCCCACATGTGTGGAAAGTGACCTTTTCTTACTTTATCTTCCCATTTTAGACTGGTTCAACCTGGACGCCGAGATTAGTTACACAAAATCCGACTGGATGTGCGGATTCCAAACCAAAAATCTTCATATCGACAGGTTTTATATATAATAACAGAATGAATATGTATTAATCGGCACTAATTAAAAGACAGAATGATGCTAAACTATTCGAGAATTGAAAGCTATAGTTACCATATCGTAAACGAAAACCTGCCACCTCAAAATAACGACAGCCATTTGCTGCAGGAATAATTGTGTTGCATGACCAAGATCGGCAAACAAGCGTCTTGTCCCTTCAGATTTCTGTATACGAGGTTTCTTTAAAAAAAACTCCCGGAAACAGTCGACTCATGTTCGAATTAGTAATTGCGATATGAAGATCATAATATTAAAAGATCATAGTGACTTTGACGAAACGACATGGCAGACGTGACGTGCCCGGAACTTCCGGACAAAATAAACGCTAGGCAGAGCCACTGTTTTGAGCTTTTTTTTTGCTTCTGCCAGACGGTGGCCGTTGCATTTTTGCTCCATTTGTAGACTGAAAGGATATAGTTTCGTTGCCCAGCTTCTGAGTTGAGTATATGGCGTGACACTGTAAGCTGGGGATTTCATTTGTAATGTTTTTCGACTGTGATCAATGTGATGGTGTGAATTGTAGATTCAGAAAATGGCGCGATGCCTGTTGTCGCAATATAGGTGGTGTCATTATGTAATTAAAATTAATCTCTGGTGCAAATGCTGATCTGTTGGTGACTTCTGCTACCATCACTGCATTTCTAATGTCTGACTGTTTGTGTCAGAACTTTGGATGGCTACTGTGTGCTTTTAATGAGTGTGTATGCGGGTGTATATGCTGAGACAGCAGTCTGTCAATCATTCCACAAGGGCCTGTGATAAACATTTTGTGTTAATGTCGTTGGCACAGGAGCGGAGAGACTATGGAATGACCCGTTTGCTTTAAAGCTGAAACTAAGATTATCAGATTACCAGACGTACACACTTAGATGTGTTCAAGGCCCTTTAGGGACAAGCAACGGAATAAGTAGAGAAGGAAGATTATTATGGCCTGGAGAAAATGAGGCACCTGGGTGTAACTCAAGGATCTAGCCGGCTCACTACACTCAGAGGAAAGGCAAGACGGAATTTTAACCAGATTGTGACGGGTACCATCAGTACTGGAACTCTGCGCTGGCTGATGAAGATGACGACGGCGCATGCATGGGAATGCCCCGAGTGCTGTGATGTCAATTCTTGACTCAACTCAACTCAAAAGACGTACACATTTATTCTCGAGCAAAAGTTAAAGAAAATAATTTGCGTCTCATTCACTTAGCATCGTCTAAGTTGAAAATATCCTTGGCTGAGCAATGCGGAATGCGAAGTTTTGTGATTTCCTTGAGAAGTTGTCCTCAGAGACAGCAAGTTTGATTAATAAAGCACATGGTGATTCCGAAATAAAGATATGGCAAGATGTTCAGTGTCATAAACCATTCCACGAAGGCCGTATTAGTGTTGACGATGATGATAAACGTAGTGGGCAACTGCACACCTCGATAAACAATGAAAACATTGAGCGTGTTCGGAACACTGCCCTTGCTGACAGAAGACTTGTTTTCAAGAAAATAGTATCAACAAATTAAAACAACAGTTGGAAGTTTCTACAGTATTCCCCCCGACCTATCACCACCGGTTGATGTTTTCTTGTTACCACGCTTAAAATTGACACCTAAAGGGCGGCAATTCAAGGGGACTGAAGACATTATCGTTAATGGGCCAAGCAAGCTGAAAGAACTGTCGAAGAAGGAGTTCAAGAATTGCCTCCCCAACTGTATGAACGCTGGCAAAAAGTGTCTATGATTAGGCAAAAATCAACTCATACGTAACAGATCGTACCTGACTCGAGATCTTCTCAGTACAAGGTGATAGATAGAGCTGGTTTAGGTCTTGAAACAAGTAAAAGTTATTATCCAAACACAACGGATGTGCTTCATTAGCAACCTGAAAGACAACAGAAGAATAACTGACGAACGTTTCTGTTATGATTTTTGGAGAGTGTATTCCACCTGCACCGTCTTTTATTTGTGAGCATCGTCTGGGAGACCTGGAGGGGATGAAAGATGATTTGTGGGAAGGTGGGAGGGGGAGGTGCCTGGCCCCTAGGAATTTCTTGGCCCCAAGTGGACGTGCGCATTGTTAAAGCGTGCAATATTAATAAAAAAATGTACTATAAGGCAATAAGTGAAATAATATATTAGGCACAGTGTTCAATTTATGAGGATATTTTTTTTTAAAGGAACATCCATGCATGGTTGGGTAGGAGGATGGGGGAAAATAGGGAGGAGGGGGGCAGTTAGCTGCCTTGATAACGACTCAGCACTCTCCGCTCCACACCACAAAAATTGGAAAGAGAGAATCATTGTGCCTGGATGCACAGGTTTTATGACCGGGTCGTTAGCTTTTCTATATTGTCTTGCTGTTGAATTAATTTTTTTTTTAAATTTACTTATTGATAAAGTTGGTCGCATAGTGTTCAGTCAACATTGTAAAGTGGTTATGCACCCGGTACACATAATTGGGGCTCCAACCTGGGGTAGTTCAAGGGTGATAGCTTTGTCTGTCAGATTTGTAGGAGTGGGAGAACGGGTCAGCGGACAGCAACTTTTCAGTGTCCCTGTTCTCGGTTTTTCAGTTAAATTCCATTGCATACTAGGGGGAGGGGAGTTCAATCTGTGTTTGCAGCACGTTTAAGATGCTTGACAAAATATATGAGATGGTTGACGATCCAACTCCCCCCCCCCCCCCCCTTTCCTCGCATCTTTTCCCCCAACTTCAATTGTAATCTATTCACGTTATTAAAATCCTTTCTGTTAAATAGGAAACAGGTAGTTTCATACAATAAATCCCTGTCGCAGACTACTGTGGTGAATACTGGAGTACCTCAGGGTTCTATTCTTGGCCCTCTGTTATTTACTATTTATAAATGATCTTCCTTTATGTCTGTCGTCGCCGTGTGATTTATTTGCAGATGACTGTGCAGTCTATACAAGTGCTCAAACGTGTGATATTCTAGAGTCATCTTTACAACAGGAATTAAACAATGTGGTTTCCTGGAGCAATGCAAACCACATGCAAATAAACATTAGTAATACAAAATGCATGTTAATATCAACAAGACAAAAACTATATTCTTTATCTGCACACAATACGCTTCAACTCTACATAAGTAACAACCCAGTAGAATGTGTAACTGAGCACAAAGCTTTAGGCGTAATTATTGATATAAATTTAACCTTCACTTCTCATGTGCAAGCTCTAGTGAAACAAACAGCTAAAAAAGTATACCAGCTTGCAAAAATTAAACACTTTCTGGATGAAAATACCAGAAGGATATTTTACAGCTCCCATATTCAGACCCAACTAGACTACTGCTCCACAATATGGGATGGCTGTCCAAATTCAGTCATGAAACGTCTTAAAGCACTTCAAAAATGAGCTGTACGCTTAGTCAGTAATAATCATGGAAAAGACATTTCCAGTATACATAAAGATCCTAAGGTAATGTTAATGATGCTTATGAATACTATTATTATTATTATTATTATTATCTGCTAAAACAATGTGTGCATGAATAATGTATGCATGGCGTGAGGCCAAAAGGGCAGAATGTAAGACGGGCATGTGTGCCCAATTCTCAACCCTTTGAAAATAAAGTTTGTTCGTTTGTTCCCCTCGTGGGATGGGTGACCATTCATCAAACCCGTCAGATTAGTGACGTGGAGGGGAAGGGGGAGGGGGAGGAAGCCAAACCATGTATAGAACGCCTCTTATTAGGTATTTGTTTATACATAGAGTATTATTTACAAAATCTATACATTATATATATGCAATTCGGCACATTATTATTACTATTACGCACTGAACAAACCTAAGGCTTCCTTGACCTACCAACAAAATCTGTAAGGGGAACTGCCATTTTCCCAATAATGTTTACTTTGTGTCGGCGTCTCTTGTCCCTAGTGTCATATTCTTTGTTAATGGGTAAAAGTAAAGGACCCTTTTTTAACGTCTTCCGGCGTATTTGGTATGAGGGCTAGACCTAGTTTTGATAGATCAAGCCGCACTTGGTTGGTGACGTGGGCAACATTACACCTGTTGTCTTTACCTTCCAAGACCTAAACTGGTACCTATTTAAAGCAGGGTGGACCAGCGAGCCAAGCTCATTTCTGACCTTCCGACAGGATCTGAACGATCGATCTTCGAATCCACAGGTGGGCATCAAGCCGCTACCCCACAGTGGCTACAACCTTTTATTATTAATTTTGCATTTTCACTGTCGTAGACAGCGTAAAAAAGACGTCATGTCAAAACCTACCATCCCCCAAACTGTCACGTTTTCATCTGGAACGTTCAGCTCGGGCCATACATTTTGTAGATACCATCTGAATTCTTTACATTTCAGCTTGGACTTGAGTTCGAGACGACTGCTAATGTCTCCAATGTCTAAAGTCTGAACGATAGATGGGAAATTATGAAGTTAGGAAGACGAAGTTATTTTCAGTGACAAGACGAACAATGTATCAATAGAGACAGTTTGATTTGTATATTTCAGCGAAAGTATTCAGTTTTTGTGGGTCATTATATGTTGATGTTACTGAAGTAATGCACATGAAGAGAAGTAAGACGTTTGTGCAGAGATATATGGCAATATCCTTACGTCCTTTTTAGGACGTAATTTTTTGTTATTTGAAGCCCCACTCTGGCTTTTGCCAGGGGCCGCAATATAGGCAGGCCATACATATGGCCAAATGTCTGAACGCGGTTTCTGGGACCTCTCCACGGCGATCCTCATCCGCATGGTGGCACTTTGTGTCATCGGGTGTTTATCGCTTGTGTGATGTCCTGGTGGGGTAGAAAGTCAGTCAGGCAGTCAGACGTTTGTGAGAACCAAGTGATAACTGTGAATCTGCAACAATGACCAGACTTTAAGAACAACACGTTAAAAGTGGTGTGGCCAGACAAGAGCACTATACAGGAAGCCAAAGAAGAATAAGAAACCATCCTGCAGCAGCTACATGCTGCGGGACTAGCTAAGGAGGAGAACCGAGCCATCATGGACTTCTTCTTCTTCTTCTTCTTCTTCACTTCCTCTTTTACCGCTGTGGGTGTCGAGGGAGATATGAGGTTCTGTTTCTAGCTCTTCTGGTCGCCTCGACCAAAGACACATCGTGCTGTTGTAGAGTTTCTCTGATGTTATCTTTCCATCTTGTTTTTGGTCTGCCTCGTGCTCTACGTCCTACTTCTCTTTCCATGTATGCTTTGTATGGTATGGCGTCACAAGGCATTCTCTCTAAGTGGGCAAACCATTTCACTTGCTGACTGAATGGTTCAATGTGCAGTCATGATAATGTGTCGACTAACTAACTAAATAACTATCATGCCGAGATGCATGGAGATACACCAGGCAATAAATAAATACTGCAGTGTTGTTTGTGTCAGTATTATTTAACATCACTGCTGTAAAACATTGTTTTAAAGAAAGGAAGTATACATTTGAATCACCATCATCATTGTGATAAGTTTTAAATTCGTAAGCCTCTGTCAGTCCTAGGGTGTATTGACTCTTTCCGCGGTTTCTGGAAAAGCGTCTGATACGACTGTCCTGTGCGAAAGTGGCAGGCTCTGTCCTTATAATGTAAGCTTTGGTCTTTCTGCAGATCTTGTCCCTGTTTCCAGTTCACCAAACAGGAGATTCTTAACAATGCGACCGTGCTTCAAACGGGAGATATTTTACAACCAAAGTTGGCGTTTTTGTTTCAATGGAGAGTACATTGTGCATATGTTTTCTCTTCTCAGTATACATTCGTTAGGGACAAAGTCTCGTCATGATATACAAGCATGTATCTCATACAGGGGTGACCATAAAATCTTCAGCTGAAACAGGACGTCCCATTAGAATGTTGGGCTGAAACCGAGCATGTCACTAATTGTTTCAGTTGAAAACAGGACATTTCAATCAGGTTAGTTCCCTCTCACCCCCTTTGTTCTAGGTCACCAGGGTGAGCATCTTAATTCTGGTCGACAATGGTATTAAAACCCATGTCATTGCCGCTAAGAAATGATCGAAACAATGTGACCTTTAACTGCAATGAAAATACATGCTCTAATGAAAATTCACATAAACCCATTCAAAGCATTAAATGTATCTAAACCTATAAATCCTTATAAGGTCTACAGATAGAACTGTAAATGCGTGTTCTATTCTCGAGCTTACTCCTAGACATTTATAAAACAGACTGAGCACCAACCGGATTGTCAAGACACAACGAAGACACAGGACTATCCTGGTTAAAACGGGACATACGGTCACCTACTCATCCGGCATATGAAAAGTATTCTGTTTGTTTTCACATCTTCAAATGATCCGATACCCATTTTCATAGAGCAAGGATAAAACCAGGTGCAATACAGTGGTCCATCTTGTTATATTGTCCAGCATGTGTGTCTCTGTTTTCTTCTTGCTTGCCAACCTTAAGCATTGTTTTTTTAAGAATGTGTCTAGAAAGCAATGGCAAACTACTGGACTTAAATCTGCCTAGAGAAACCACACAACAGCCAGGGGCTGCTGGGGTTGGTTCTGCAACATCCTGTAAAGGATTCGCAACTAACCTTTTTTATAAGAATGTCTTGTACCCCAGAATAGGGAACATGTGCTGCAAACATGCTGTCTACATGCTGTAGAGAGATCCAAGGTCTAGCCACTCAACATCACGCTGGAACTTTAGACCGCTGGATCAGTGAAAGACGTGTCCCACAGCAGCCTTCAGAAGGGACCGTGTCTTTCTGATCCAACAACCACAGACATGGAGAACAAATAGAAGAAGATTGCTTGTTGACTAATCAGAATTATGTCCTGACTGGAGATTAAACTTGATAGCCAAGCACAGTTTACCAGCAGACTGGAGAGAAGGATATCTTGTGAAACTGCCCAAAAAAGGTGATCTACAGGAGTGTGAAAACTATAGAGGAATTATGTTGCTGTCAGTTCCTGGAAAAATATTAAGTAGAATTATTTTGGAAAGATTAAAAGATGCTATTGATAAAATGCTAAGAGATGAGCAGGCAGGTTTTCGGTCAAACAGATCCTGTACTGATCAGATAGCCACATTACGTATTATAATAGAGCAAAGCATTGAACTGAACTCACTACTTTACATTGGATTTATAGACTATGAAAAAGCATTTGACAGCATAGATAGGGAATCTCTCTGGAAATTGATGGGGCACTATGGAATCCCACAGAAAATAATCAACTTAGTAAAGGCAACATAAAAAGACATGAAAGGTGGAGTTCTTCATGAGGGAAAGCTAACAGATGCATTTGAAATAAAAACAGGTGTGCGACAGGGATGTCTTTTGTCGCCTGTCTTATTTTTACTGGCTATAGACTGGACTATGAAAACAGTAACTGCTAACACCAAGAATGGAATTCAGTGGACCCCTACAAAACAGCTTGATGATCTGAACTTTGCTGATGATATTGCTCTTCTGTCCCATTCACGGAATCAGATGCAAGATAAATTAAATATACTTAATGCGAGATCAAAGCAGCTTGGTCTGAAAATCCATAAAGGAAAGACAAAGATAATGAGAATAAATCAGGCAAATACTAATGTGGTTTCTCTTAATGGCACCCCACTCCAAGACGTGGAGTCGTACACCTATTTAGGCAGTAATGTAGATAAAGATGGAGGAACTGATAGAGATATTAAAATAAGAATACAAAAGGCAAGAGGGGCTTTCATAGCACTAGGAAATTTGTGGAGGTCAAAAGAAATTAAAAGAAATACTAAACTAAAAATTTTTAATTCTAATGTCAAATCAGTACTATTGTATGGGGCGAAAACATGGAGAACAACCAAGGCAATTACTAATAAATGACAGACATTCATTAACTGGTGCCTGCGCAGAAAAGAGGGAATAAAATGGTATGATAGAATAACTAATGTAGAACTTTGGGAGAGAACTAAACAGGCTCCAGTGGATCAGGAAGTGAGGAAAAGACGCTGGCGTTGGATAGGGCACACACTGAGAAAACAGGAGAACAGCATAACTAGAATGTCTTTGCATTGGAACCCACAGGGGCATATGAATAAAGAAAGGCAAAAAAAAAACACATGGAGAAGAGAGCTGGAGAACGAGGTTAGAAAGATTGGGAGGACATGGGGAGAGCTCCATGCAATGGCGAAGGATAGAACGACTTGGCGTGAGTTGGTTGAGGGCCTATGCTCCATTGGGGGATAGAAAGGCAGAAGAAGAAGAAACCAAGCACAGTTACAACAGTAACACTGCGGCATCTATTTTGCCTTCATGTTGTGCTGTTATGCGTTACATATGTCTTGTCGTCTAGTTAGGCATTCCTTTCTATTCTGTGTAACTGATTCGGTATCTAGGGTAGAATCTAGTCCAAAATATGCCCCCCCCCCCCCCCCCGCAACATCTTTCGTCTTATGGTGGGTTTTTTTTTTTTCGTGGATTGGGCTTTTTTTTTTTTTTTTTATCCCATTTGACCAGATTTTATTGGATTCTCACTCTTCTTCTAATGGTGTCCGCAATATATTCCTTTCTTGTTGTGTGTATGTTTTTTTTTTTTTTTAAACTGTTGTTATAAGATGAGCGGTTGTACTGAAATGTGTCTTTCGGAGGGGGGGGGGGGGGATAATCTTATTTATAAACTGTATCTGTTAAAATAAACCTCAAATGGGATACCTTTTTAAATAAAAGGCAACAAGTGTTTACCCTAATATCAGGAAACTCGGTGTAAATGAACCGAGAATAGTTGCCCATCCAAACACTGACAGCTCGTTTGTAGTTGAAATGCTCGATTTTACTGCGGCCACCAGGAAACGAGTAGGGCTGGCCTCGAGGAACATGCCCAATCCTAGAGCAAGGAACATGCAGAAGGCGTCCACCACAGAGCCACACCTGCAGATGAAAATGTGTATTAAAGGGCGATGCTGTATGTCAGGTAGCTTTCAGGGCGTGTTCAGGTGGAGACAACATCAGATATGATTATAGCAGTGGTCTCCAACCTTTCTAAGGTGACGCGAGTATAACCTTGAGGAGCGCCACCCCCCCCCCCCCCCCCCCTCTTGTCGCGTTTTCCTGCACTTACGCCCAACATTGATTGAAAAGAGGAGGTCACTAAGAAAAATATAAATTACTGTTAACAGGTAAAGTAAGATCCCCTTTTAAGCATTTAGGCGTATCGGGTATACGGGAAAAGCTCCATATTTTTACAGACTATCGGCACTTGATGGGTAATTTGGTCAGCATTACGCCGGCCATCTTTACTTCCCAAAGACAGCCATCCTAACACCCATTTCAAGTTCGGTCCACCTGCGACGCACCATACCTTGATAAAAAATCCCCCCTGCCAGCAGTGGGTTTCGATCGCGGTATGTTGGAATTACGAGTCGGACTCGCTAAGCCACGGATGCCGCACTGTTAATAGGGACTTCGAGAAAAACTTGAACGTGATTCACAGTGTCAAAAAACAAAAGAAACAATCGCCAATAACTGGTATTTTAATGTCCAAATACCAATATGGTGGTTGCTACTGCCTTGTCTTGGTGATATCTGCTATTTCTGATCAGGACAAGGCACAACGGAGAACAACACTCCATATCACACTGTGTTGTTTTATTTCCACAACTGTTCAAACTGAAAGACCCCCCCCCCTCCCACTCCCCCTCTTAAAAGTTCCAGACGTCCACCACAGAGCCACACCCGCAGTTGAAAATGTGCAATAATGGGCGAAGCTGTATGGTATGTTGCTATTAGGGCGTGTTCAGGTGGAGACAACATCGTATCTGATTATAGCAGTGGTCTCCAACCTTTATAAGGTGGTGCGAGTATAACCTTGAGAAGCAACCCCCCCCCCCCCCCCCGTCCAGTCCAGTTTAACTGCACCCACGCCCAACATTAATTGAAAAGAGGAGGTCACTTCCTGATAGAAAAAGGGGAGGGGGTAGGTTGATCCCTTAGCTTGGAGGCCGTTTGTTTATAGCGTGAGAACAGAATAATATGTCGAGTGAAAATTAAGGTAAATAGTAGTATAGCGGCGAGGAATATATGGGTGAATTTTAGGAGATGTACTTTATATAGAGAAATATGACGTCATAAATCGATCTTCGTAGGAACGTGCCTTTGATACAGGCAAATATAAAATCCCTAATGTTCGATTAGAGGTCTGAAAGGGAAAATAAAGCGGGCTGCGTGGTCTCGATGTATAGTGTCCGCATCGAGTGCTAGAGATTCTGTGTTCAATCCCCGGTAAAAGCTAAGATTTTTTTTTAAGTGGACTTGGACTTCTAGTTAATTTCCCCTCTGTCGCGTGCGAATGTGCACCAGAACGCACCGGTACGGAGTGAGCAAATAAGACGTCAAAACAATACGTAACGTTGTTATGTTATTGTTGTCAAAAGCAGTTGATGTTTATAGTCCGAAGGAGACGGACGTGTGGATCCCTGAGGACGCTTTACCCCGGGATCCCACGGAAGCAAACGTTATATGAAGTTAAAGTTGGATCCTTGAGGACGTTTTACCCCGGGACTCCAAGACCTCAGCAGGAAGCTGGTAAACGTTACATTTTCGGCAGTATGCCGGTATACTTTCATTGCTTAATTCGGACTTGTCCGAGGACCAAGATGATTGTCATGATCTCAAGGTCGGACTGCGACCTATCGTGAGGACATATCAATACATGGATGTACGAGCGAGCTTTGGTTGAACGAGTTGATTATTACTTGCATATGTATTCTTGAAATTGATCATTGCATTTGTCAATACACAAATGGAACTTTTAAAGAGAGTTCTTGTTCTACTAAGTTGGAAGCTTCAGCATTCATCATGTTATGTTACTCTTGGCCAGTGGCATGTTAAGTGTTGATGCCATTTGATACATTGCGACACCCCTAGTCACTTTTACGCTTGTCACAATCCATCAAGCATACGCAACGTTTTGGTACACTCGTCACAAAGAAGTTCCGCACGTAACAATGGAGGCCAGCCTTTAAAGAATGAGGGACCTCTCGTCACAAGTGTGATACGACATTTTGTCGCATTGTCATTGTTTTGCCTCAAGTTGTACACGAAGCACATTCCAGTTGTCACAGTCTTAACATATCTCTAGCTGTGGATATCGTCCAATGTATCAAGTCGCCGCCGCCAGTCTGTTCTAGCCATCGTTGGATCTTCATCGGGACTGTATCATTCTTCGTTCGTTGGATCTTCATCGGGACCGTATCATTCTTCTTCGTTGGATCTTCATCGGGACAGTATTACTCTTCGTTGGATCTCCGTATCACTCTTCGCTGGATCTTCATTATAATCCAGTCACCGTTACTGACTGTGCCACTCTCCGTTCGAATGAATCGGATCAAGTCGTCCTTTTGGTTGTACATTGATCTGCTACTTGCCGTTGTACCGGTCGTTATTTAGCGATTTTTCATCGCTAACATTGCAGTGTGTTGTTTGTCTGCCACCCAATTGATGCGTCCGATGTAGCGATTGGTGGGACGTTGTTGCAATTCAGAGAGGGCACCCTACTCCCTGTTGTTTATGCCAGCAGGAAGCTGTCTCCTACTGAATGCCGTTACAGCGTGGGCGAGAGGGAAGCACTAGCCATTTTTTGGGCAATAGGGAATTTTACCCAATTCCTGTATGGCAGTCACTTCTTTATCTTGACAGACCATCGTCCACTCGAAGTCTTGAACTCAGCACCCATCAAAAACTCACGCATATTAAGATGGACAATGTTTCTACAGACGTTCAACTTCACAGTTATTTATCGCCCAGGGAAAGAAAATGTCTTAGCCGATTTTTTGTCGCGCACCCCAGAGGCATTGGAATAGGATTGATGTTTATTTGTTGAATTTACATGATATTTAAAATGCATGCTGTTATGAAAATAATTTGGATAACGATAATGTTGTTGATAATAATGCTTAGTGAAGTCAGGAATCTATATTTTGCATGCATTTAGTAATGTATTGACGATATATTGAGGAGTGAGTGTGTGTGTATTCAAGTGTTCTTATTTGCTCTCTCGTACTGGTGCTGTTTGCCGCGACATGACTCCAGTTTTCCGACCGAGACTACGACAAGTCCTAGTGCTCGGTCGTCCTCGGGAGGGGGGAAAAGCTGTCGCGTGCGAATGTGCACCAGAACGCACCGGTACGGAGTGAGCAAATAAGACGTCAAAACAATACGTAACGTTGTTATGTTATTGTTGTCAAAAGCAGTTGATGTTTATAGTCCGAAGGAGACGGACGTGTGGATCCCTGAGGACGCTTTACCCCGGGATCCCACGGAAGCAAACGTTATATGAAGTTAAAGTTGGATCCTTGAGGACGTTTTACCCCGGGACTCCAAGACCTCAGCAGGAAGCTGGTAAACGTTACATTTTCGGCAGTATGCCGGTATACTTTCATTGCTTAATTCGGACTTGTCCGAGGACCAAGATGATTGTCATGATCTCAAGGTCGGACTGCGACCTATCGTGAGGACATATCAATACATGGATGTACGAGCGAGCTTTGGTTGAACGAGTTGATTATTACTTGCATATGTATTCTTGAAATTGATCATTGCATTTGTCAATACACAAATGGAACTTTTAAAGAGAGTTCTTGTTCTACTAAGTTGGAAGCTTCAGCATTCATCATGTTATGTTACTCTTGGCCAGTGGCATGTTAAGTGTTGATGCCATTTGATACATTGCGACACCCCTAGTCACTTTTACGCTTGTCACAATCCATCAAGCATACGCAACGTTTTGGTACACTCGTCACAAAGAAGTTCCGCACGTAACACCCTCGTCTATGGGTGGTGTGCCCGTGTGCATTGTTATACACGTAAAAATATCTATTGGCAGTTGGAAATCGAATAAAGTAGCCTTACGGCGCTGCCCGGGCAAAATTTGGAGTTAAAAATCGACAAGAAATATTTCAGGATCCTCGCCGGTGCTACGGTGCTACACTGTGCTGAGCTTCTTCGGACTCAGACTTCAGTAAGAAGAAGAACTGATCACTTATGGGTTACTACCTGTGTGCCATGATGTTGATCCGTTGTTCAAACCTCAAACTTAAATTTATTTGTGTGGAATTCCTGGCGTGGTTGAATACATTTATAGTGCAAATAAAATAACAGCAAAGTTAATTACATCTTTTTCCGGGTAATGCATCATTGATTTTTAGCCAACAAAACTTACCCGCCAAGACATTTCTAGGTTCTCTCCGCCCCAGACTCTCATCCCCTCGTCATAGCCACCGAGTTCAAAGAAATACTCTTTTTGTATGGCAAATGCAGCACCAACCATAGTTGCACCTCTGCCAGTAAATGTAATGCATTTTATAATATGGACTATAAAAATGAAAAGTTTACTTTGGTAAATGGTATAAGGGATAACCTCATTGGAAAAGTAGCTGAACGCTTACCAGTTGGTCATGACATTCTCCAGCTTTGTTAAAGAAGAATATAATAAACAAATTTGAAAAAAATAGAATGGAGAGAACTAATTAGTAAACAAATTTTACCCCACTAGGACATCACACAGAGCAACAAACACTAGGTGACACAAAGAGCCACCATGCGGATGAGGATCACCGGTGGAGACGTCCCAGAAACCGCGTTCAAACGTCAGGTCATATTGCTGTCCCTAGCGAAAGCCAGGTTGGGGCTTAAAAATAATACAAAATTGCCTCCCACATGGGGACGGCAATAGTTTTCATATTTGGGAAATAATCATGGAAGATGATCAACTAAATATGGTGAAAAATAACCTGAAAAATATTGATTAAAAATTTCAGAATAAAAATATGGAGATGAAAATCTCTATCCACTACTGTCAAACTGTGTGTTTTATCTTTTGGCCTGACCACATTCCTCTGCAGCGGCAGGCAGTTTTCTCTCTGCTTCAGAACATTAAAATTTATTTTGTGTATGACCCATTTTTTGCAGACTTCACAAATGAATGATTTGATAAGATCAAAGTTATTGCTCCAGGACATAATTTGTACAAAATAGAAGACATAACAACATCCTTATAACATACAGAGCACACAGATACAGTTTTCAGCAATGATGTAATTAACAAAACAATTTCATCTCTTATATACATATATATATATATATATATATATATATATATATATGTGTGTGTGTGTGTGTGTGTGTGTTTGTGTGTGTGTGTGTGTGTGTGTGTGTGTGTGTGTGTGTGTGTGGGAATTCAGGCCAAGTTGATCCTAGCATATTAGAGTCAAGTCCCTTTTTCCTGAGAAAACTAAAGTTTCCTCCATGATGAGCACGACTTCTAGAACTGATTATTAGGGCTGTACCGAATAGTCATTTTCACTATTCGGCCGAAAACGAATACGAGTAGTGAATCATCATCATCAGGTGCTTTACCGACTGGCATGGGCGATTATGTCTCGCCACAATCTGCGATCTCCTGCAGCATGTATTAGTTCGTGTGCCATGCCATGCAACAAGACTGTCAAGAATATTCTCTCGTTGTCTTCCTCTATCCCTCCTTCCACATATCTTTCCAGTGGTCACCACATGTTCCATTTTCCCTCATCTTATAATATGGTCGAAAAATGATGGCTGTCTCCTTCTGATGTCTGTGAGTAGTTTTCTTCGGGCTCCCGCCTCTATCAAAACCTTTTGGTTGCTTTTTTTTTTTTTTTTTTGTCCAATGTATTTTAAGCATTGTTCTGTAAAACCACATCTCTGAGGCCTTAATAAATTGTTTGGCCTGCCTACCGATTGTCAAGGACTTACAGCCATATGTTAAAACTGGATGTATGTAGCAAGAAGTTTTTTCTAACCTTCAATGACCAAGATTATTGCATAAGATGTTCTTCATTTTATAAAAATGCAGTTTTTGCTTGTCCTATACTGATTCTTATTCCGTAATGCATCTTCCATCTGATGTTATCCATGTGCCCAAATACTTACATTTCTGTACTTGTCCCAAAATAAAACCATTGACTTTTTTTAAGCATTTAGGAATAATTATTTTCTTTGATACCACCATTACTTCTGTCTTCCTACTATTCAAACTGATGCCAATTCTTCCACTTTCGTGTATAAAATAGATCTTAAAAATCACATCCATAATGTCAAATGTACGCTGAAGTTTTACTTCACAAAATGTAGTACAATATAGTAAACATTTAAAAACATTTCATGTTTTGCTTCCTTCAGTCAGTCAGTCTGTGGTAACTAATACCTAGAAATGAAAGTATTCTTGATTTTATAACAAGTAACTAAACTTGTAAATTGTCACTGACAGCTTAGTTAATCCACGAAAGCTGCATTAGCTTCCCCCCCCCCACCCCCCCCACCCCCCCCCACCCCCAAAAAAAAATCGTTCCATGTTGTCAGCATTAAAGCAGCTTCTTGTCTCACTGAAGGTATTTCCAGCTGTACTAAACAGACGTTCACCTGGTACGCTCGTAGGTGGTGCACAAACATAACGCTTGACAATATAAACCTAAGGTGGGAAATCTTGATATGTTTTTTTTTCCACCAGTCCAGAAACGGGTGTAAGGTAACGACTATTCGTATTCGGCCCGACCGCAACTATTCGGCCGAATACCGAATAGTTATTAGGTCCACCATTCGGCCCCGAAGCGAATACGAAGCGAATATTCGGTACAGATCTACTGCTTATAAATGGTCGATATTTTGACATGACTCACAAAACGGTTATGGAGTGACCTGCAGTCCAGCACGGGTGGCAAAGTTTTACTGAGACAACGAGAAGCTAGACGACAGCGAGGAAGAGACGAGGTCACTGATGCTGGAGAAACAACGAGCAAACTTACGGTCGAGTGTCTGTTGTCTGGTGACCAATCTGATCGGGACGAAAAAATGTTTCAAAGAAAATGAGTCTCCAGTCCCATCCATAGCGAGTCAAATAATTCTCGTTGTAACTGTATTCAAATGTCATAGCTCTAATGTAGTCCAGTGTTGCCATAGCAATAACTTTACGGTCTTTGACGATTTCCGTTAATAATGGCGGTAGCCTGATGGAACGAAATAGAGATCAAACAAATCGCTCATGTTTAGTTACGGTGATCATAATATTCTGTGCTGAAAACGGGATATCCCAATAATATTTTAAACTTAAAACGGGGCAACTCAATTTTTTGCACTAAAAACGTGATATCCTAATAATATTTTAAACTGAAAAAGGGGCATGTCAATATTTTGAGCTGACAATGGGACATCCCAAAAATATTTTGCGCTGGAAATGAAACATTCGAAGTATATCAGTTTAACAACACCCTGTTTTTCCCCTATATCACCACTTGATGAACGAGTTAATTACTTACTATACAATTACAATGGTATTAAAATCCTAACTATAGCTACCAGGTAATAAGAGAAACAATATGCTCTTTATTTGATATTCTTTTTAATATATACTAAAAAATTTCATGAGCACACTTCAGAGAGTAAAAGAAAACTCTTAAATCTTGAGCTGATTCCTAGATCTTTTTTTTTTTAATAGAAAATGACAATTAGCTTTTTTTTTTTTTTTTTTAGAGTACCGACAGGACAACCGGGACACACCTAAAAAACACAACAGGATGAATGTCACCCTATATTTAAAGTTTCATTAAGAATCGACACGGGGAGGGGGGGGGGGTTGTCGGGAGGAAGATATCGGGTGCTAGTGCTTTCATCCAAGACCCTAAAAAGCGTTTCGTTCCCATTTTCAGCGGCAAGCGCAGAGTTCCAATTCCAATGGTACTAGTAGCAGACTGATTGTATATCCGTCTAACTTTTCAGTTTATATATTTTTTTCCTTTGTATATCCGCCTAACCTTTCCCTTTGTATATCTGTCTAACCTTTCCCTTTGTACATCTGTCTTACCTTTCCCTTTGTACATCTGTCTAACCTTTCCCTTTGTACATCTGTCTAACCTTTCCCTTTGTACATCTGTCTTACCTTTCCCTTTGTACATCTGTCTTACCTTTCCCTTTGTACATCTGTCTAACCTTTCCCTTTAAACATCTGTCTAACCTTTCCCTTGAATGCTGATCGACGCCTATGTTGGTGTCGTTTTCTTCCTCCTCTTCTTCTCAGTTCATTGAACCAAAGAGCGTAGACTCCGAGCTATATCCCACCAATCACGTAATAATGTTGTTCGTCAAGTTAATTTTTACCTACGAAGTTTTTCTATGAAGTGAGATAGTCACTCTTACGCAACCCTCGTTGCCGTCTCCTACGTCATGCATAAATGGTTACAGAGTTACTATAATTTGTAACCCTTGGGTGAATCCAGGGAGCAGTGATGGGTCAAAAAATAGCCTGGCCTCTGTAGACTGAACCTGACGTCTATAGAAATGTAGCTCTGCGACTTGGAGGTAGGCGAATTATTTTAACAATTTCACTATTCTTGGGTAATAGCGTACGATTTTCTGGGTGGACGGTTTATTAAAATGGCTTTGCGCTATTTTAGTATCTAGACACTTACCTGTTAGTCTCAAGGTCATGGGTTTGTTAACCCATGTAGTCGAATTTTTTAATTTTAATTAACCGTGGTTCACAGGTCAGGCTTCCCCCCTCCCCATTTTTTTTTTTTTTTTAATGAGTACTAAGTAATGTCGTATAAGGTAAAAGCGGTCGGGTGGACGTTGCAACATCACCCATCAACTACCGATTGGTCTCAAAAAAGATATGAGCCTAACACTATATGCACGATAGTGATGTAAACCAGCGTCATTGCACACGGTTATAAACCATAAGTGCTCTGCCACCAGTACGGACAGCTGATAAGAAACAGTCCGCCTGTGTCGCCGTCCGCACGTAACTCTGTAGATATATCGACGTTCCTCCGTTCAACCCAGGGTGTCACTCTGGTACCCATTTACTAAAAGCCGGGTGAACCCAGGAAACCGCCCGGTTTCGAACACCGACCGTGTCTGCAGCAAGTCGCAGCTGGATATGAAAGCGAGCCTCCTATCGACTACGTTAACGCGTCTCCTGAAAGGATAGGCTGATGGCGTAAACAGGTCCTTAAACATAATAGCAAACTGGATACACACATTAGTTGAGAAACGAAAAATAAACTGACCAGTTGATGTTAACTTCCATGTGACTGTCAAAAAACACCAGAACGTCTCCAGTGGCCACACGGGACCCACGCATGCGCGCTGCGATGAGACCCAACCTTGTTGGTAAACGCAACAATCGGACAAGACCAAGTGGGAAGTTCTCGTTTATGTAAATTTCCAACTGATCTTTGAGGGTATCTGAAATATACAAATAAAAAGCCTATGTAAGGCATGGAAAACATTTGGGAGATGGCGAGAGGCCATTTCAATGGAATAAGCCCTATTTAAATGTCTAATTTTATGAAGGGCTACTGAAAAGTTCTCTTCTACCTAAACAGTTATCTTCTACGTAAAGTTTTAAATTATCTTTGAGGATATCTGAAATTCACAAATAAAAAGCCTCCGTAAAGCAGGAGTGACGACACGTAGAAAATATTTAGGGAAACTACGAATGGGATAAGAATGAAATGCCACCGAAAGTTTCTTAGAAGTCCATGGAACAGGGGGAAAAAGATTTTTTTCTGTTATGATCATCAAGGCGAAAAAATCTCATAAACAATTTCCTTTTCGAAAATATGAGCTATTTTGTCCATATTAAGCGTCATGTTGCATCGGAGAGGACGGTGATGTGGAGTGCAGTTACCGGAATACCATGCAGATGTATCCCTAAGAAGATGAATACAAGACATTGACGATGCATTTGCTTTAAAAGCACATAGGGTTGTCTAATTACCTAGAACATTTTAGACTTTCAGGCGGGCCGTGAAGACGGCGTTATGTGTAATGTACCTGCTGACTGGTGTGATATAAATCTCTCCTTCTTCTCTTTTACCATTTACCTCAGCGAGGTTTTGTTGGGGGTGGGGGGGGGGGGGCGGATCTAGGGATCGTTTGTGCGCTTTTTCCAAAGCATTGTATAAGCCGATGTTCATTTCTGTTAGATTGCTCCTGGTGATGTCTCTCCATACCTTGCGTGGTCTTCCCTTTGCTCTGTCTTAATAATATTTCTTTAGCGTGGCTCTCTGTGACAATAATACCAGGGCATTCTAGTCAGGTGGCCAAACCATCTCATTTGTTCTTTAATGAATTAGTTGAGCCCGGCTCTCTAGCGTAGTTGGCTAAACCGGATTGCGCGGTGAGCGGGTGACGAACTCCTGTGGTCTGGATCCCCCCCCCCCCCCCCCCGGGACAAGGCAGAAAAGCCATATTTTCTCCCAGATTTACGGTATTTACAATGGAATCAAGGTCGAAAGGTTGCGATATCCATAATACCGAGCCTAAGGGTTAACAACTCATGGCTTCTGGATACTAAAACAAACAAACAATTAATTGTGTGACAGGTTTCTGTCCTAGTCTTCTTCTAATTTCCTTACTCTTGATTTCCTGGGTGGACGGTTTATTATGCGCTATTTTAGTGTCTAGAAACTTACCTGTTGGTCTCAATGTCATGGGTTTTATTTTAATTTACCGTGGCTCCCAGGTTTCCCTCCCCCTACCCCCACTAACCCTCCCCCCCCCCCTTCTCACACTGGCAGCTCTCCTGAGATATCTCATCTCTGTTGTTAAGATCTTGCGCTTTTTAGTTGTAGTAAGGGTCCATGTTTGACACTGAAGGCACAATGTCAGCCAAAAAACCGTTCTTAATGGGATTTGCTTTGGTTGACAGAGGTATCTTTCTATGCGTCAGAAGCAGTGTCAATTGTCCCATAACCTGATTTGCATTCGCACATAAAATATTGATTTCTCTATCCATTCTTCCATCTAAGGTGAAAAACTACCCTATATATTTAAATTCCGTGTGTGTTTTATTGCTGTGCTATTTACCTTAATTGAAGTGGTTTCTTCTTGTCTACCTATTACCGTTGCCTCTGTCTTATTAATAATTATCTTCATAGAATATTTCTCACACTTAGTGTTGACTTGGTTTATATGGTCCTGTAAACACTCTTCTGTTTAACTAATATTAATTGGTCATCTGCAGATAACAATTCTTTTCTTTTTTCTCTGCTTCTTTGCATATATTGTCTATAAATGTTTTAATAAGCAAGGAAGGTAGCACACATCTTTGTTTACTCCTGAATTTACTTCAAAAGGTTGCAATGTACCTGCTTTTGTTCGTATGCAACTTTTACTTGATATATATAAGCTCTTACACACTTCAGTCAGATGTTTGCTGATTCCGTATCTTCTTAAGCAATTCCACAACATATTCCTACCTACTCTGCAGGTTTTTCCTGATCTATAAATGCGACATTGCATGCCTTGTCATACTCTAATGCTCTTTCTGCCAACTGTCCTCATATAAATATTGCGTCTGTGCAGCTTCTATTACGTATGGAGCTCATCTTGGCTTCTGAAAATTGCTACACACTATAAATAAACTTTAAAAGGGAGTTTCTAGGTGGACTGTTGAGTTTGTTTGCGTGTGTGTGTGTGTGAGTGTGGGTATGAGTGTGTGTGTGTGTGTGTGTGTGTGAGTGTGTGTGAGTGAATGTGGGTATGAGTGTGTGTGAGTAGTGAAAGTGGATAAAGGTAAAATAATGGGGGGGGGGGGGGTTGGAAAGGAAGTGTTGAGAAACTGACCCCATTGTTGTTGTGTGTTTTTTTTTTTGGGGGGGGGGGGAGGTTCAAGGGGTTATAGCCTTCTGTTCTTAAGTGCAGTTATTAATAACTTATTTCCTTCAGTGCAGTGCTTGTTTTGTTTCTCCTTGTTGTTTGATGTGGATCCAGTATGTAAAAGTAGTTTTGAGTATTGTTTCTTGTACTAAAATAGTTCATTTTATGTTACCTCTTCCTCTATTCCTTTCGATCCCTAAACGGGTTGCTAGAACATTGTCTTGTAGTTTACAGCTCGACTGCGATATCTACGCATTTTGGACCAACATACATGATTCAGCAAAATCATAATTAGTTGCCTTTGATGCCTACTTGTTATATGAAGTTGGGTGTATTCTTCCCTACTCCCTCTTTTCCAAACTGAGCTCCGGATTAGTAGTAATAGTACATTTTACCCCACTAGTACATCACACAAGCGATAAACACCCAGTGACACAAAGTTCCACCATGTGGATGAGGATCACCCGTGGAGAGATCACGGAAACCGCATTTATCCATTAGACCATTTTTATGGCCTTGCTATATTGCGGCCCCTCGCAAGAGCTAGGGTTAGCTTCAAAATAACGATAAATTGCATCCCACTAGGGAATGACTTGTTATAACTGTTTTTAGTCCTTTTTTATGAGCCCCGGAGCCTATCCTGGGAATTTGATTAGAGTAATTACTGAAATTGATTTATAAAATAAAATGAGACTATTGAACATTAATTACTTTTGTTGAACATTTTTTGAAGGTATAACTCTATCATCTCAAAAGACAGAAATGTGAGAACGTATTCTTCCTAAAGTTCATGCCATGATGTGAAACTGTCTAGCATTATCTAACTTTATCTCCCTCTGCCTCTCTTTCCCTCCAACTTTCCCAGTGACACGATGTGCTCCTGTTTTCTCTTTTTCATGACATGACCAATGAATGGAGATTGTCCTTTTCTGATGTAGGTAATCAGTTCCCTTCGTGTGTCAGTTTCATTTAAGACATCTTCATCAAACTTTTTATTTATCTAGGGCTCCATTTTCGTTCTAAATGTCATTACTTCTGTTGTTCTACTGTTAAAACTAAGACCCGTGTTTTGACTTTCCGTTACAATTAGGGCCCAAATTAACAAAACGTGTGGCTACAGTGCGTACCTAAAGTGCTGGCGTCGTCGACTAGAATGATCTCCTTGATCAGATGTCTCGGTGATCTGTTAATGATGCTGTACACTGTTCTCAGTAACATCGACAGCCACTCGTCGTAGAACGGAATGATAACAGATGCACTTGGCAAGCTGTGGTTGTACTGAAGTTTATCGCATCTACAGAAAAAAAAAAAAAACAGAAGAATTACTCTGATAACCACTGATTAATTAATCAATATAGCACCTTCCCAATTTATTGAATGTGTACATTACACATCAATCTGAGTAACAGGTGGTCGAGCGGTTAAGAAAGTCTAGCTTTCTTACGTGAGAACCAGGGTGGATTCTTGGGTTGGATTCTTTGTTAAAAAAGGGTTTGAGCGTCTGTGGCTTATGCGTTGCGAACACGTTTCGTAGTAGCGGGTTGTTGGGTTCGATTCTAGCTGCAGGCGATTTGAAGAGAACAGATCTAAAAAGTCTGATTAATTGTAATGTGGTGTAGTGATCTTTACGTTCATTTATGTATGTAATGTATTAACAAGTTACGTGTCCTGTGAAAAAATATATCCTCTGCGTTAAAGCTGGTAAAACGTTTTCAGTGTTTACTTTATTATTATTATTATTTTTATTTTATAAACATTACCTCAAGTTAGTGTTCTCTATATATTTACGTGTCTCTAAGGCATACAAAATATGTGTGCAAAACGTATTCACAAATACACCTTCGCAAGTTTAAAAAAAAAGCATTTTTTTTTTTAAAGTTACCAAAAGGGCTTAAAGGGAAATTCGATAAGGTACGTTAAAATAAATCTTTAGAGAGTACAGCGAAGTGCTCTGTTCCTGCCAGTGGCGGCATTGGCTGATGAAACTCTACTCTTATTAATATCTGCCAAACAGCACCAATATCAAAGTTGCAAATCCCTTCGTTGAACTGCTAAACACACACTCATATATATATATAGGAGACAGTCATCATTTTTCGGCCATGTTATAAAAAGAGGGAAAATAGAACATGTTGTTACCACTGGAAAGATATGCGGAAGGAGGGATAGATGAAGACAACGATAGAAGATGCTTGACAGTCTTGTTGCATGACAGCATGACATGGAGGTGTGTCGGCACACGAACTGATATGATACATGCTGCAGGAGATCGCAGATTGTAGAGAGGCATGATCGCCCACGCTAGTCGGCTAGGTACCTGAAGATATTATATATATATAACATGTTCTACTGCATGTGTGTTAACTCTTTGAGTCCCAGGGGGTTTAGTGTCACAGGCCCAAGGGGTAATCAAAAGAGACGTAAAATCGGCGCATCATGCGTTCATTGGGCCTCTAGGTAGGAATCTGTGAACGTATGATGCGTTTCTTGGGACTCAAAGAGTTAACCATGAACGATAAGTAAATCATTATAAGAAACAAAATTCAAATGACAGTTAAAATATGGTTTGTGTAAAGAATACAGCCAAAGCACACACAAAACAAAATAAGGTAGTCGTCCGGTTAGCTGCGTATCCCTTACAGGACGTTGTGTGGTTTCTCTAGGCATATTTACGTCCAGTTGTTTGCCACTGCTTTCTGGACGGTCGGCCCCCTGATACCACTGTCGAAACCTTCGCAAGGCGCATGGCCCGCAGCTGGTATCGACATCACTGTACTCGGGACATTTACGTGCTCCGTCTCAGTCGTCAGTAACCAATCAAAAGTCTACATGTTAACAGTGCCAGCTACAGCTTGATTAACTCTTTCTGTCACCCGCCCCCCCCCCCCAAAAAAAACTCACTGTGCGTGACTGGGTATTATTCACGGGTTTACTATTTATTACAAATACACGTCTCGGTTCGCGTGCTTCACAGCACATAAAGCTTGTTAACAAAATTAATTCACTCGCTTCTTGCTTGCACCACTCGGGCAGAAACTGCAATGTGTAAGAACTTCAGGTTACAAATAGTAGGATGCTAGCTGTGCACGCCTTCTCTCAACAGCGGAGCGACGAGACGGAAAATATCGCATGACACCATCTCCAGTATAATTGTTATCTGCTTATATTTGTAACTGCTAACACATGCGAACTGATCAAGTCTTTACACTGTCTGATTAAGTGATTTTTCATGCAGACTCCAGTAATTTCATATAACATTTTTTGTGTTATCTATTATAGACTGAGCTGATCGAGGAGCTAAAGATGATGGGTATTTTAAATACTTTCTGTCACCACCCTCTAGTGGGGATTTGAACACACGAATGCCTGACGAAGGGGCAAGCATTCTCGTTATTTCTTGTGATTAAAGCAATATGACAAACACGATGAAGACGATAGTACAATTAATTAATAAGTAAAACCATACAAATCATCTCATTAAAACATAATATAACTGCATACCCCTGTATCCTAGAATCTGGGACAAGTCTGTTGAGAGGTATCAAATCACTGACAATAGTGTTCACATTGTAATCATCCAAAACTAACTCTTTCTGGGCTGCTTCCGCTTTTGTCAGAATAACCCCTCGTCCTAATTCCCCGGCATTTCTGACGTCATTGTTGCCGTAGTCATCAATCAGTGGATTCCCAGTTTTTTTACCATCCAGAAATTGGGCTATAGAAATCATCCGTGACTTTTGTGATCTGGTGACAGCAGTACTAAGTACTGATGAGTCAGAAATATTTAAATGTCGACTGTGTTTATGTGGAGATAGATCTCGGTCTAACCTCGAGTGGTAAAAGAACTTTAAGTTGGACTTTTTAGTCTGTTTTAATTTGTAATGCGAATCGAATTCGTGAAAAATCGTTACTGTTATATTTAAAAAGATAAAAAGTAACAACACTATACAGCCAGTTTTCTTGAATTTCAATAACGCTCGAAAGCAGAAAGTAAGACCAGCCATGTTTTTCTTAGATGATCACACAAGGAGACATCAGCCTAATTTGCAGCAAATCATTTTATTCAGGGAAAGAAACATCGTAGACTTGTAATTTGCAGTTTGATCCACCGATGATAAACGTTTGTTTAAGGCCAACAGATCGCCTGTCTGGATTCTATCAGTTGACGTCTCACGGTAACAAAGCTGAAAATAAATACAAACATTAAAGTGTACTTATGAATATTACATTTGATGACTTAGAAATGCGTAAATTAAGAGAAATATTTGTATAAAACTAACATCAGCTGTTATAAAAGCAGGACTAATGTGATGGTATATATGACACAGACGGATTAGTAATTCGGGGCAAGCGATATGCGTGGGTCTTCAAAGGGAGCATAACAGTGTTAAATCAACAAGGACAGGGAAAAAGCTTTTGTTGTTACGACTAGCAGCTTCACAGTGGAAACAGTGGCTGTAACAAGGGCATTAGAATAGCTGGATACTCAAAAGTTCACACATGCAGGCATACTTAAGTAACTCAATGAATATCCCACCAGCACTTGCAGATTTTCTCTTGAACGTCTTTGATTTCTCAGTCTTTCTGTTTCCCATTTCAGTGTCTTGTTTTGAAATCTCTGACCCCTTCGGCTCCTATTTCTTCCATTATATCGCAATCGTCCTGCTGTAAGTGATTAGTTATTAGTGAGGCTTATCGTCCCAACACGCCCTACAGATCCATAGGTGCTCCGATATCTTCCTCAAAAGCGCCACAAGTGTAAAACGACCGATGACACATGTTCTGAATTCTTATTCTTTTTCTTCTTTCATTCGTTGGAAATAGAGTATCTATATCTGCAAGTCTGTCTCTTGTATGAATTTCACTATCTGTTGTAATCAAATCAGCGACCCGAAAAATTTGGCTTGCTAGACATGACGCACAAGATCGAAAAATGACATTGCAAAGAAAGATCGGAATGGAAGAACCAGATGTAATCTCTATGTGATCTATAATGTACTTTGTGATGATGATGACAATAGAAAAGGTTTTGAAAAGAATCAATGACTTTAACGTGAGAAATGAATGCAGAAATAATGATTACATTGATACTTAAATTGAGAGTATAGTAAAAGATGTACATATGGTAAAGCAATATGCATACTGAATTTGCAGCCGTCATATGACCAAAGTTGATATTAGAAGTATTCTTTAATATCTTCTTCTCAGATAATTAACTAGTCATCTCCTTGTGAGATGCATTTTTTCGTTATTTCAAGCCCCACCCTGGCTCTTGCCAGGGGCCACAATATAGCCCGACCATAAACACGGTTTCCGGGACCTCTCCACAGGTGATCCTCATCCACATGGTGGCACTTTGTGTCATCGGGTGTTTATCACTTGTGTGATGTCCTAGTTGGGTAAAATGTACCACTACTACTAATTCTTCTTCTCTTCTTCTTCTTTTTTCCTTTTCTTCTTCTCCTTCTTCTTATTCTTCTTCTTATTATTATTATTATTATTATTATTATTATTATTATTATTATTATTATTATTATTATTATTATTATTAGGATATTATTATTATTATTATTATTATTATTATTATTAGGATATTATTATTATGATACAGCATTCAGTACCCTCGGTTTTATTGGCTTAGATATCGTTTGCCTTTATTATATTTTGGCCTTCTTTTTCTAATGGGTGACTCAAAGTATTTACTGGTACTCAGCTATTTTGTGTAACAATCTTTGTCTCTCTATCATCTGCTTTGCTCTATACTTAACTTTAGTTACCTGCATGTTCTTTACAGTATATTACAGAACAGGGTTTTCTAGGCAAATGTAAGTACAGTGGTTTGTCATTGCTCTCTGGAGGTCAACTTTTGATACTACTTTTGCTGTCAAATCGCCTGCAGCTGAAATCGAACCTGGCACCCCAGCATTACGAAGGCCGCTTGCAACGTCTGAGCCACATACGCAACTACTATAATCTATTAGCATGATTTAATGAAATCGTGAATTTCGTTATTGTTCTCCGATGTTTGGATCTTGTATGGGTCCAAACAATGAACTCGAATGAACTTTTAATAGGGTTATATAATTAGGCACACAGGCCCGTCTTACTTTTCAATTGTTCTAAACATTCAGCTTTCACAAACCTATTGTAGTTTCATCTACAAATCATATAATGTTGATGTAACAAAATGCACAATATGTGTATAAGGTAAATAACAAAAACATGGATGGCATATGCATACATTTATATACACACACAAGCGCTCGGGCACATACACATACTGATACTTATGTCCCTATATATGCGCATACTAATACATATTCATTCACACAAGCATGCATACAAACTAATATACACATAAACGCGCAAAAACATAAAAACTAATTCATTCAAACGCACTCAAACATACACATACACAGGCATTCAACACAGACATACATAAACACCAATTTATTCAAACGTACTTAAATTTACTTATACACGCACACATGCATAGCCCCTCAACATTCACAAACATATATATTACACGCCTCTACATACATGCTCACTTCTACGCACACACTCACACACAGGCACCCACAGAATCAAACACACATACTTACACATACACTCACTTGTAAATTTATATATATATATATATATATATATATATATATAAATGTGTGTGTGTGTGTGTGATTATAAATAAATATATGCTTCTACCTACATATACCTATACATCCACGTATAAAAAAGGTAAAGTCGGGAGATGTGAACCAGCGTCATTGCACACGGTTATGAGCCATAAGTGCTTTGCCACCAGTACGGACAGCTGATAAGAAACGGTCCGCCTCTGTCGCCGTCTGCACGTAACTCTGTAGCTACAGCGACTTTCCTCCATTTACCCCAGAGTGTCACTCTGGTACCCATTTCTTAGAGGCTGTGTTAACCCCGGGAACCGCACGGTTTCGAACACCGACAGTGGCTGAAGCTGGATTTGAAAGCGAGCTTCTCATCGACTGCGCTAACGCGGCTCCCACATCATCATACAGACATACATCCACATATGCTTTCTAGATGTACACCACATACACACACACACACACACACCATCACGAGCACACATGTATCCACACACGTACACACTCTCATACATATGCATATATACACACATTTGCTCGTGTCTCTCAGTTGTAGTCCATTTTGAAAGTCATTTAGAACATCCGGTCCTATCAGTGTTTTATGATCTTGGTGGTACGAGATAAAGTTTTTAGATTCTTGTTACGTTTGCCGACCCAACAACACATTGGTTGACCTTTCACTCATACTTGCTCAGGCTAGTCTATGTAAAAGGGGTGTTACGTTGCATTGACTTCTGTGCTCTCATCGGCGATGACGCGTGTACCAAATTACACGATGTGACTGGTTTTAACGACACTATATCTAGAACAGGCCCTAACCCCAACCCAGCTACCCTAGAGCCTCAGCCAACGTCCCACGAGGGAGTGCAGCATACGACCCGTGGCTTCAGAACTGTTAACATTTGGATACATACATACATACATACATACATACATACATACATACATACATACATACATACATACATACATACATACATACATACATACATACATACATACATACATACATACATACATACATACATACATACATACATACATACATACATACATACATACATACATACATACATACATACATACATACATACATACATACATACATACATACATACATACATACATACATACATACATACATACATACATACATACATACCTACCTACCTACCTACCTACCTACCTACCTACCTACCTACCTACCTACCTACCTACCTACCTACCTACCTACCTACCTACATACTTACATACATACATACATACATACATACATACATACATACATACATACATACATACATACATACATACATACATACATACATACATACATACATACATACATACATACATACATACATACATACATACATACATACATACATACATACATACATACATACATACATACATACATACATACATACATACATACATACATACATACATACATACATACATACATACATACATACATACATACATACATACATACATACATACATACATACATACATACATACATACATACATACATACATACATACATACATACATACATACATACATACATACATACATACATACATACATACATACATACATACATACATACATACATACATACATACATACATACATACATACATACATACATACATACATACATACATACATACATACATACATACATACATACATACATACATACATACATACATACATACATACATACATACATACATACATACATACATACATACATACATACATACATACATACATACATACATACATACATACATACATACATACATACATACATACATACATACATACATACATACATACATACATACATACATACATACATACATACATACATACATACATACATACATACATACATACATACATACATACATACATACATACATACATACATACATACATACATACATACATACATACGTACATACGTACATACGTACATACGTACATACATACATGCGTACGTACATACATACATACGTACATACATACATACGTACATACATACATACATACATACGTACATACATACGTACGTACGTACATACGTACGTACGTACATACGTACATACATACATACATACATACATACATACATACATACATACATACATACATACATACATACATACATACATACATACATACATACATACATACATACATACATACATACATACATACATACATACATACATACATACATACATACATACATACATACATACATACATACATACATACATACCTACGTACCTACGTACCTACGTACCTACGTACCTACATACGTACATACGTACATACGCACATACGCACATACGCACATACAT